AAATTCTTTTAATCTTTTTAAGTAAAAAAATATTTTTATTTTTAATCATTAATTAAAATAAAATATTTCAGTTAACTAAATTTTTAATTGTAGTAGTCAAACCAAAAAAAAAAAAGGAGTTAAATATCAAACAATTTAGAATTGAACAAAATATGTTCATCTCTAATGATGTAAAATGTAGTGAGAAAATTGGAGAGAGAGAGAGTTTTGATTGTCATTTTTTAATTTTATATTAATTTACTTGACTAATTAATTGATAAGAATTTAATATTCTAATTATTACATCATAAAAGGGTATATTATAGGTATTATAAAAATTCTTGATACACTTATAATAAATTTTATTAGAGCATTTTTACTTATATAAGATTTAAAATTAAATCTTGACTACATAATTAAAAAAAAAAATCTAGTGAACATACTATAGACGAATTTTCCTATTTGAATTTCAAGGTACTTCTACGGATGTAGCCAAAGGGGTCGTAATTTTGCTCGTAAGTCGCCTTAGTTTTTACATTGCATTGCATACTTTGCCAATTTCTTTTGCTTTAATTTTTTGCTACTATTCTTATGAATCTTGTACTGACTGTCTAGAATTGGAGCTATTGCCCTTGAATTCTTCTAGCTTGAAGAGCATGAAATAAACATCAAATAATATCATTTTATGTATATAAACCAATCTAAGGATAAATTTGTCTAGAACCTCAAATGGGTTGGCTTGATTTAGAGATTTGGGGATTTTCGTATGGTAAAGGGAATAAGAAGGGAGTTTTGTGGGTTATTGATATGGATTTTCGCGGGCCCTCAAACCAAATTCAACAAAAAAAAAAAAATTTTATTGCACTTAATGGTAAAAAATTCCTCTGTTAATGGGAGTTATAAATGGTGTTAGGGTTGTGTCAGGAAAGGGAGGTAAATGTAATGGAAGTTCAAGTAGAGGGAGGATTTTGAACAATTTGTAAGTATAGGGAGAACAATAAATGAAAGTTGAAAGTAGAGGGACTGTAGTTAGCTTTAACCCTTTTACTTTTCCGAGAAATAACTTACTCTAAGATTTTGCAAGGATATTTTGATTCTTACATATCTCAAAATTACAATAAATAAGGCAAAAGTAATATTTTTAATTTTTATTTTTTTTGACATAATTCTTAATTTTTAAAGTTTTCTTAATATTTATTTCTAAAGAAAAAAGCTCCTCTATGACTTTTTTTATATTAGATCTATTTAACAACTTTTTTTTATTAAAGTTTCTCTATATCAATTTTTTACCAAATACAATAAAATTAATAATCCAAATAAAATTTCAACAAAACCTCATTACAAAAACTTAACAATTTTTCATACAATACTTTCTAACCTTTTATTTAATATTTTTACAACTACCTTTACGATAAAAACTTTCCAAGGAAAGTGGCCTCTAACTAAACACACCCTTAACATTTCCAAACACCCCCATGGTGTCAATGGCTTAAGAATTGACTAAGATCCCAAACTTTCACCAAACCCATAATTAAGGTTTCAAAGTTCTATTGTGCTTAAGTAAGGTCATTAAGTCATTGAAATTCTCAAAGCGGATCCAATTGAAAAGAAACCAATAGGTCCTCATTAATACAGTTAACTTTAATGGGTTAAATATTCAAAATGGTCCCTCACTTTTCTGTTTTATCTTTTAATAACTTCAAAATTCTTCTTAAACTTATTTTTAGGACCTACAACTAAAAATAAATTTTAATTAACTAAAATAAATTACTAATTAGCTATTACAATATATTTTATTTGAGGGAAACAAAAGGGAGGGGAGAAGAATGGAATTGAAAGATGTTGTATCCCTCCATTTTCTTCCATTTCCCTTCCCTTACCACCCATCAATTTGGATAAGTAAATGAATTAAAAATAAATGAATATTCTCCCTTCTCCTCCATTCATCTCAACTCAAAGATACTGTTAGATGATTTCATTAAATATTAATTAATCATTAAGTAAAATTTTAATTTTTAATTAATTAATTAATTAACCTCATCTTTTATTTATATTTATTCTAAAAAAATTATGAATTGTGAACCTGATAATACCCCTCTTTTCGTTCTCCATCCTCCTTTTTTCTCTCCTTTGTTTTTTTTATTACTTTATTAATTGATATATTTTGTTTGTTATAGTTCAAAAAATAATAACGTAATTTTTTATAATAGCCCATATAAATGTCACATAAAATTAAAATTAAAAATAAATTTTTAGTACTATAAAAAATAAATTTTTAGTTGTAGGTCTTATAAAATTATCACATCTATAAAACAAACAAGCTTAAGGAGTGTTTAGAGGTTATTGAAAATTTTAGTGTCATTAAAAGAAAAAATAAAAAAGTTATAGACGATTTTGAATATTAACCAATTAGTATTAATAGTGTTGATGACTAATTTTACAGGTCTGACAGTTCTCATCTAATTGGGACCTCATTTAAGAATTTTTATGATTTTAAGACCTTATTTGAATGTAATAGAACTTTAGGATCTCAATTGTAAATTTA